CGGTAGGCTATGTAGCATAATTTTAAATCGGCTGGACAGAAAAATAATCACTAAAAAACTTACCTCAGCCGAGCTATTTTGGCCGTGTTCGTTGACTTTTGTGGTCACATGACCAAAGCTGCTTACCCACGGTAGTATTAAAATGGTCTATATTTGTGCCATGTTTTATTATTTTATGAATACACAAATGAAAACTAAACAGTTTTGTCTTCTTATGAACATATATTTGTTTATATAATTATGACATAATCGACGTTTAAGATTGCGCCATTTGCAATTATTTCCCTTGTCAGGACAAACGAGTAATAATGATACATCATGTACTATTAGTAAAATGGTGGCCATGATTTAACCAACTTGTTATAAAACTTTACGCAATGTGTCTGGTCTGTAAGCGTGTAAGAGAGAAATATGACAGTATATAAATCTATTTTCCATTTTATGTTGTCTAGAAATGTATATCTTTTAGCTTGTTACGGAGGATATTACTGTTTTGTTGTAGAATTCCACTTCTTCAGCAAATGTTGATAAAAATCTGGCTGGCACGAAATGTGTACTATTTGTCTGTCTTTTTCAAGAGGAACGTACCGGTTTATAAATCTTTCTCCCGTTTTATTCTGTCTTATTATTGGTATATTAAGGTAAATGGCAAAACAAGTTTTGCTATATTTTGTACAGCTTCTGTCTGATAAAGGTCAAAGTACTAGTAATGTTTTACACATTATGACAATAAAAAATACTTTGAAAGACAGCTACAGAAATGTGTTACAACGATAAGGCGTTTCATCTTCAAATCACTTTCATAACACAGTAGAAATTCGCATGGCTTAGACCCTGTCGTTTAATATGAACATGTTGGTTGGTGGTTTAAACTTCCCAGAAGTGCTTATGCGGCAGCCCCCACTGTTTCTCGTGTACACGTATGTCTTCACTATTGCTACATGATAATTATGGTGACACTTTTGTGTCCCTTCTTGTTTTTGTCGTCTACGGTTCCCCAGTGTTTTTAGCTCACCTGTCACAAAGTGACAGGGTGAGCTTTTGTGATCGCTTTTCGTCCGGCGTCCGTCCGTCGTCCGTCCGTCCGTCGTCCGTAAACTTTTACTTTAAATGACATCTCCTCATAAACCACTAGGCCAATTTCATCCAAACTTCACAGGAATGTTCCTTTGGTGGTCACCTTTCAAAATTGTTCAAAGAATTTAATTCCATGCAGAACTCTGGTTGCCATGGCAACCGAAAGAAAAAACTTTAAATATCTTCTTTTGAAAAACCCTAAGAGCTAGAGCTTAGATATTTGGCATGAAACATCTTCTAGTGAGTGTCTACCAAGTTTGTTCAAATAAAAGCCCTGGGGTCAAAATTGGCCCCGCCCCAGGGGGTCATTGATTTTCCCTATATGCATATAGTAAAAACTTAAAAATCTTCTTTTAAAGAACCCAAAGAGCTAGAGCTAAGATATTTAGCATGAAACATGTTCTAATGAGTGCCTACCAAGTTTGTTCAAATAAAAGCCCTTGGGTCAAAATTGGCCCTGCCCCAGGGGGTCATTGATTTTCCCTATATGCATATAGTAAAAACTTAAAAAATCTTCTTTTAAAGAACTCAAAGAGCTAGAGCTAAGATATTTAGCATGAAACATGTTCTAATGAGTGTCTACCAAATTTGCTCAAATAAAAGCCCTGGGGTCTAAATTGGCCCTGCCCCGGGGGTCATTGATTTTCCTTATATGTGTATAGCAAAAACTTAAAAAATCTTCTTTGAAAAAACCCAAATAGCTAGAGTTTAGATATTAAGCATGAAACATGTTCTAGTGAGTGTCTACAAAGTTTGTTCAAATAAAAGCCCTGGGGTCTAAATTGGCCCCGCCCCGGGGGTCATTGATTTTCCTTATATGTGTATAGCAAAAACTTAAAATCTCCTTTGAAAAAACCCAAATAACTTAGGTTAGATATTAAACATGAAACATCTTCTAGTAAGTGTCTACAAAGTTTGTTCAAATAAAAGCCTTGGGGTCAAAACTGGCCCCGCCCCAGGGGTGTCATTGTTTTTAACTATATGTGTATAGTAAAAACTTAAAAATATTCTTTTAAAAAGCCCAATGAGCTAGAGCTTAGATGTTTAGCATGAAACATCTTCTTATGGGTGTCTACCAAGTTTGTTCAAATAAAAGCCCTGGGGTCAAAATTGGCCCCGCCCCAGGGGGTCATTGATTTTCCCTATATGCATATAGTAAAAACTTAAAAATCTTCTTTTAAAGAACTCAAAGAGCTAGAGCTAAGATATTTAGCATCAAACATGTTCTAATAGGTGTCTACCAAGTTTGTTCAAATAAAAGCCCTGGGGTCAAAATTGGCCCCGCCCCGGGGGTCATTGATTTTCCTTATATGTGTATAGCAAAAACTTAAAAAATCTTCTTTGAAAAAACCCAAATAGCTAGAGTTTAGATATTAAGCATGAAACATCTTCTAGTGAGTGTCTACAAAGTTTGTTCAAATAAAAGCCCTGGGGTCAAAATTGGCCCCGCCCCGGGGGTCATTGATTTTCCTTATATGTGTATAGCAAAAACTTAAAATCTTCTTTTAAAAAAACCCAAATAGCTAGAGTTTAGATCTTAAGCATGAAACATCTTCTAGTAAGTGTCTACAAAGTTTGTTCAAATAAAAGCCCTGGGGTCAAAACTGGCCCCGCCCCAGGGGTGTCATTGTTTTTAACTATATGTGTATAGTAAAAACTTTAAAAAAATCTTCTTTTAAAAAGCCCAATGAGCTAGAGCTTAGATGTTTAGCATGAAACATCTTCTTATGGGTGTGTGTGTGGGGGGGGGGGCTATATACAGGTGAGCGACCTCAGGGCCATCATGGCCCTCTTGTTTGTTTTTGTGCTTGCGTTCGTGTGTGTGCTATTGTTGTTTTTGTTTGTGTTTATTCCATTCCCCATCACCTTCCAGATCAAGGTGCTTAAGAGATGGTGCGCCAGTAAAATGAATGTAGATCAACACACAAGAGTATAATCAAATACGTAATTATATATGAACAAATGGCGTAGTACAGATGAGGGTGAGGGGAGAGAAATACATCATTTAGTCCGAAACAGGCAAAGTTCCGAATGTATGTAAATACAACACAGACTGGCGGTGACACTTTTTGTGTCACTTCTGGTTTTTGTGGTCTACGGTAAGTTTCGATCCGTTCCCCTGTTTTTGTTGTTGTTTTTGTGCTTGCTTGCGTGCGTGCGTGCGGTGCGTGCGTGCGTGCGTGCGTATATGTGTGTTGAAGTATATGTGCGCCTTTCAGCATCTCTCATGAACAGACTCAATAAAGTCAAGTCCGGAAAATGTAATAAAGTGCTTTTCTAGGTAAAACAGTTTACAAAAAGGAGAGATCACTCATGTGCGATAAAACAACAACTTGCATATCTCAAACTCGTTTTGACTGATCTGATTACCAGAAATAATAATAAGTGCAACACCTCTAATGCCACCAGCACCGGCTTAACCAGTCGGATTTATTTCTGATATACCGATAATTAAACCATTCTCATTTTACAAATTACATATCTTAGTTACTGTATTTAAATTTGATTTATCATTATCACAAACATTTAAGCCCCTTTTATAAACAGCAGCATTAAGAATTACATTGTCTGTTAATCAAAACCAAAGTTTATTTTTTAAATTACTGAAATAAAGTGCACGAAGTGCTATCCCTCCATAAATAGCTGCATTAGATTTTATCGTAATTATCAAGTAAGGTTTCAATTTATATTGGCTTCATTTGATAATTAATGTATTTAGAGCTTTCAGTGTTTCACTTCATTTAAAAAAAGTATTTTTTTTTTTAAAAAGTTATGCTTCGAAACATATAAACATGTGTTGATCTCTATTTTTATAAAGAGGTATAACAAGCAATAGGATTTTGTCTTCAAATATCCAAATTACGTAAAAGAATAAACAAATAAATCAGGAGATAAATTACTGCCATAAGAAAGTAAGACAAGCTTAGTTGATGCAGACTGTAAAATAAAGTGTAAATATGATCGGAATATGAAATAAAACCAACATTGCGTTAAGAGAAGAACTTAGATTGGAGCTTTAAAATTCTCAGAAATAAATTTATAACGGAACATTTGAAGAAGTGCGTGTTCGTGAATGTGTTGAATGTAATGTTTTTATTGGCAGAATCTTCATAAATAGAATTTTAATAATTATCTTGTTAATACAAATGTATTAGTTATGTGTCCAACGTTTTATTTTTAGTGGGGTAGGGTATAATAAACTTGTTGTAGATCAATTTAAAAGTCCATAAATTAATGCAAACATCAAAGTGCAGTAGAGAAGGCGTTGTGAAAATACTTAAGTTTGGAGTGATGGTTCGGGTAGTTACTCGTCCGTATCTCGACAGTTAGCCACATTGAATTGATCAGAGCACACTTCAGCCTTCGCATCGTTCTGGACAGGCTGTCAAGCAGGTTGCCTTTACTTAGCACGAAACTGAAAGCATAGGTACAGTGTGGATGACCATAGAGAATTTCATGATCAATAATAAGGAAAGCATCCTTCACCGTCCGGATATTAACACTTACAGTTGCTATTCAGTAGAATTTAATGGCACATTTTAAATGCAATTTGATATGGATAAATGTTCAACACGTTTAATCGCTAACTAATAAACTTAAACATGCTATGCTTGTCTTTTCGTTCTTCCGCTCTAGACAAGCAAGGTCGAAATTGTTTTCTATTTAAGTGTCTATGTTAAAAGCTTTGTCTGGAGAAATAATATTCTTTCAACTTAATTATAGAGTATAAATGCTTAAGAACTTAGAATGTTAGATTATTTTGTTTGCAAAACTCGTGAACTGATATCTGTCTTTTATAGACAAATTAGACAACTATCAATTATGTGACATTAAATTGACAACAAACCCGAACATACTGTTTTAAATCTTAATTTGTGATTCATTTGCAAAATCTAGAAAAACCTTAAAAATAGCACTTTACCCAGTTACAAATCTTGTCATGTTTATACATGAAACACAAATGTATACATAACAAAATATAACAATAAACCATCATGAACAATTTCCAATAATTAAAACATACTTTAAAAAAAAGAGTTCTAATTAGCAACAGTAACGTTATATCCCCAAAATAAATTTCAATGACCCCTCTCTATATTCCGATATTGTATAAGTTGATAGTGTTTTAATCACCAGTATCTTGTTGTTAAAAGGCTACATATATAAAACCAGCACAGCCAGTTTGTAAAATAGACTTTTTCCTGTTAAATTCTTGTGATTGAACTCATTACCTTGATTTAATCTTTCAATTTTGAACACACTGAAAAAATCAAGTTCTTTCAATCAGAGACACTATCAATGAACTACATAAAATTAGAAAGCAATAGCAGTTCCTACATGTAGCTCTATAATCAAAAAATCCTCTAAGAAACAACATTGAGAACACCAGATTTTTTGTATATATGGCACAAAAAATGCTGTAGAATATACTGTAATAAAAGTTTTAAAAAAGTTATAAAAAAATGTTTAAAAAATTACATATCATTTCTTAGTAACGCTATGAACACACATCCAAAATGATCAGACTAGATTAACATTTCTTGCATGTACAATAAAAGATATCATAAATGATATTGTTTTATAAATATTACAATAATATTATTTCCGTACAATATAAAAAGAATTAAAAGAGACATACAAAACAATTAAAATATCAGGTTTTTACCTGTGATTTTATCACAATATTTATAAGATATAAATATATTAACAAAGAAATGGCATTGTATATCAAAGTGTGTGCATTGTATGCACTATATAAAAAGGAAACAGCCCTATTTGCAAGTGCCGGATTAAGCCAGACTTCTCTACTGTATCGCTTTCCATCGGTGGACCTACATAACAAATATAAAACAATGAATATTTAAGGTTATGGTTCCAAAACATTAGCTGTGAAAATATAATTTTTGATATATCAACAATAAAAATGATCAATTCATTGATAAACGGATGGAAATATTTAAGCTGAAATGACATAATACTTTCATAGATGTTTAATGCGCCTCAGTGAAATAATTCTGCAATATTCCACTAACCTATGTAAGTAATATTTATCTCAAAGATACTCAATTTTATTCTGCCTGTTTATAACATCAATTTTGAATGCATTGTTGTAGAATAATGCATGTTTCAAGTTCAAATGCGTGGGAATATAATCACAAAAGCCAATAGGCCTGTGGGAGTAATTACATAGCATTTGAATGTTTATTATTTAAAATTTAAGCCATGCATTATAATAGTTAAAAGCAAGAATTTTTTTTATTAATTTTCGTCTAACATGCTAATAAAAAAAGAGAATATATTTTATTCAGTACCAAAGTAAATGTGTTACAATTCATTTGAAACACTGCAATCCTATTGGACAAAAAATAATTTCAAACACTAACCTATGTAAGTAACATGAGATGCAACTTTTATCTCAAATATACTCAATTTTATTCAGCCTGATTATAATAGTGATTTAGAATAGATATCAATTTTGAACTTGTTGTTTAGGATATATATCAACCAAAGCATTTTTAAGATAAACCATGAATAATTATAAAATATTAATTTTCATTCTAACACGCTAATAAAAAAGGGAATTGGTAAAAATTTGTTGAACTGCAATGAACGTAGAAGTCATCTTACTGATGTCATTTGGTTTATTGATGTCATATCTGGCATCCTTTTTATGCTGTGCATGTATCATGTTATAATGTAGTTGAGTGCTATATCTTTTTGATAGGGGAATAGTGTGATGTGTATTAGATATGACCTATACTGTGTCGATGTGACGTAAAACCCAAAACAAACAAAAAAACGACAATGTAGAATAATGCATGGTTTGAGTCCAAATGTGCAGAAATATAATCAAGAAAGCTGATGATTACAAAGCATTTGACCAATAACAATGCATAATCATACTACAACGCACAAATTTTATATATCAGTTTCAATTCTAACATGCTTATCAAAAGGGAATAGGTTATAATATGTGAAACTAAATTCTGTGAAGTCATTTACTTTTTTTTATTGACATCATATCTGATGTCATATGACGTGTATGCATTCTTTTTTAAGTGGTGAATATGCAGTGTTATACTGCATTCGACAATCCTATCTGTTTTATAGTGAATAATGTGAAGTGTGTAAGAATACAGTGTTTAGCACTATCAAAACATTAAAATGACTAATTCTATCATGACTAATGTTACCTGGATAATGATAAAAAAAAAATATTGCACTGTATATAACAAACCTTGTTCTAAGTCTAATTGGATATTCAACCAGCATTCCATGTGATACCAGTTTCCAGGTATTAGTATCCGTTGAGAAATATTCCACATCTAAACCAGGGAACTCTGTATTAAAACTAGCTTTTCCAGATATTACACTGAAATTGAAAAATATAAATACAAAAGTGACAGCAATTTGTATACTTAGTAAGCTGAAAAATTATAACTGTGTCAAATGTATTGGTAACAATTTTTATTTTGTAATTCTTTATACCTTATAATAAAGTAATAATGCAAATTATTTCAATCACTATCTAGACTTCTTCCTTAAATTAACCAGTACTGCCTGATTAGCTCGTAGGGTTGACAGGCAAACACTAAACCATAAGGCCATCCCTCCCTTTCTGAGACTAATTTTCTTAGTGATATTAGGTAAGAGTAAACAATGTTGTAATGGCAACTGGAACTAGAAAAGAATCAGGAAAATTATCAATCAAATAACAGGTGCTTATAAAAATTACACAACAAAAGACAGTCTGAAGGAATTCCAAAAGGTTGGGATTACAAATCAAATGTTCCCTACCTTCACCCCATTCCCCATCCCCACTCTTGTTTTATGTTCATGTTTAATTGTGTTTTATGTCACAGGTCATATGGCAACAGTACAGGTCATATGGCGACGTTCCAGCTTTACTGGTGGAGGAATACCTCAGGTGCCCTTCGGGGAATTATTTCAGGCACGAACAGGCACTGTAGAACCACCGACGTTCTGTAAGCTAGCTGGATAGCTTCCTCACATGAAAGAATCCAAAGCAAGTGGTTTAAAGTCAATGACTTTAACAACTCGGCCACGAACAACGCCGCTCCCCACTCATGTGCTAAGCAGTGAACAACCAAATTCTGAATAAAGTGAAGGACACCTTTAACTCTCTAAGTGTGATTCAGTCTTTTTTTTAACCTGCCATTTTTTATAATTTTTTTTATTATTTTATATAAGCAAACACAAATGAAAAACAAAAATCATTTTATAATCCAAAAAATGGATTATACATTCTCCATAGTACAGATTACAGTACATAAGGATCATAACAGCTCTATCTCTATCTTATGTCATATCAAACTAGACAATGTTATATTTTTTGTAATGTGACATCAAAGTTAGAAGACTTCAGGCATTATTCACATTTGTCTTGGTTTTCCATTAATTCCTGTCAGACTAAAAGGTATTTATTTCCACATCAAATTTTATAGAATTTTATCTGTATTTTATGTTTAATGTGTATATCAGCATGTCTCAAAAAGGAAATTATGTTTATACAACAGATTACCAAGAGATCAAATTTCCTGAGGATAACTAATGTTTCAACTTTGCTCTACAGTATTTAAAATTAAGATTTAGGTACATGTACTTTAATAGTGATTGGATACAGATTTTAAGAATAAACAGACAGAGGGACTGCCAGGCAATTGGCATACGTTTAGACACATGGACTACAATAAACAGCATCTCCATATTACTATCTAACCTTACTTCAAGTATCTGATACACTTAATGTAATCACAGTATTGAAAGATTACCATTTAAAATAAAATATGTGGTTATGGTATTTTTGCAATATCTTAAGTCTATTTGCATCAGAAGATAAAATAGTGTGCATAATTTACATACTGTCATCCATCCATATATTAAGTTTTTGAAAATGTTTTCAGTACTTTTAATGTTATCACAGGCTCCAGTACATGTGGACAGGTGAACAGACAGAAGGCAAACCTAAGGTGTCCACTGATTTAACTTGTTCTCCACAGTATGATTTTATTATACATTCATGTTTCAAGTTTCATTAAACAATATTTTTTAAGTTCTAAATGGGTCAAAATATAATGTGTTTTTTTTGCATTATGTTAAGTGTTTTTGTTGTCATAACAATCAGATTTTTCAACATAGGAAGAAAAAATGGTGTATGCCATGTATCCATATTTGAAGTTTAACAAGGCAGCCTGAAGGACAGCTAAATCCCCTTCCACAGCTGACATGAATGTGTACTTCTTGACCTTAAACCAAACATGAAACATGACCTTGATGTTGTGTTTAAATCAGTCTATAAATACACAATTATAGCAATTTTAGCACATTTGACACACTGACAATTGTATGGTGAGTTTTTGTTTGACCAAGCATCAACCAAATCTGTCCAAAAATTTAAAAAAAAAATGTTTTTTTAGAAATAAATCAATAATTTTACAATTGATGTCAAGGTCAACTAAAGGTCAAGGTCAAGTTTGACAAAATTTAAACAATCTTGGTCAAGGTCGTTTATTGGTTAAGGTATACATTATGACAATTAGTCTTGTCAAGTTTAATTAAAAATTTTGAGCAGTTTAGAAGAAGCACACACACAGACAGGCAGACTTAAGGACAGAATATACCCTCTTACAGCTTTATTTGTTTGCGGGTATTAAAAAATATATGCTTAATTTCAATACTGCCATTTACATGCATTCATATTTTAAGTTTCATAAAAGTATTTATATTACTTTTTGAGTTATCACTGGATCCAGTTTTAATAGATAGAGGACAGACATGCAATTCAAAGGGGCCTAAGGGGATAAGAGGCCATTTCTTTTGTTATTTTCTTTTGTTTCCAGTTAAATGGTACCCATTTTATTTTTGTTAGTGCAAACTGACTTACAGATAGATGGATGCCCAGACAGAAAGATAGATGGACAGTCTGATGGAGGACAAACCTGAAGTAGGGGGACTTATAAATATTAAGTCCTTAAAAACTTTATCCTACAGGAAATTTACTTACATGGCACCAGGGGGAGGAACTCTATATCTAACATCCTTTCTATCAAGCCTAGGTAACTCATGATAACCAATACATTCTGAGAAAGCTTGCCATTCCTTTCCTTTCATTTTTTCTGCTGCATTTCCCTTCAAATCTTCAAATGATGACTTATGCCAACCCCTCTCCGCTACCGACAAAAGTCTTGGAAACAACATAAATTCAGCTTGTTCATCAGTTCTGACAGTTTCTGTCCACAATTCTGCTTGAATTCCTGCAACAACAAACCTTATCATATAATAGTATGGTACACTTGTTATTTGTATTTCAATAAAATAAAGCAGAGTATCAAAAGTGTTTGGGTAACACAAAATACTATAAAATCATTTTTATTCATGGGCCACAATTTTTCGTGGTTTTTGTGAGTAGGTCAATCCACGAATTTAAGATCCGACGAAATTTTATCCCAACAAATACTTCTTGCCATGTCTCTATTCTATATATTACAAGATACATCTGCGCTTTACCGCCGATTTTTGTGTAATGAATGCCCAGAGGCAAGGATTAAATTTATTGACAAGCGCTGTGTGATACATTAAATGTAAATTACTTTGCATTAGGTTATTTATTTATTTTTTTACAAGAAATTGAAAATCCATGAATTTAAGAACCCACGAAAATGCCATTTTTGAAAAAACCACGAAATTTCATGCCCACGTATATAAGTGAATTCACAGTATTACAATCACATAGCAGTCTGAACTTAAGAGCAAACCTTTTCAATTCAATCAAAGCTGTGGTTCTAAAGACAACTGAATATTTTTAATATTAGGACCGCAGGTATCTGTATTTGGTAAACAATTTAGTATGGTATAGCTTGGGAAAAAAACACATGTACAGTAGAACTTCGGTAAGTCGAAGTTGGAGGGACTTGCGTAAAAACTTCGACACATCAGGACTTCGACTCATGAATCGGTCTGAATTTCATGACAAAATTTCAACCCGTGACTAGCCCTAATTATAAGATCTATAACGTAACCTGTTTCATGTTTTTCTTTCATTCATTTATCTGATATTTTACATTATAAAATGATAAATATGACATATTAAGTAACTTTTCACGGCTAATGATTTGGACTCCCTGTTGACGTATACAATGAAGTTACAAAGGGCGTAAAAATACGAAAGGGCAATAACTAAACCAGCTTATAATAAATATTTCGCGTGTGATTATCACGCGACACCGGGTCACGGAAGTACACAAATTATAGTTCTTACTGTTCACATGTACTTTAAAAAACCGCTACCGCAATTAAAATAGAAATGATTAAAGCATTTTTTCACACATTTAAACGCATACAAAGGCTGTTTGAACACTCGGCTGTGTAATTAACACATGTCACTAAAGTTGATCGAAAATCGTCTTTGCGGCCATAAAAGGTGTGAAAATGTCTCGAGATCGAAATTGTCAAAATAACAGAAGAACTTCGTCTTATTTGCGGTAAATTGTACTAGATTTATTCTATACGGAGCACGAAAAAAACTTCGACACATCGAAACTCGACACATAAAATCTCGACTCATAAATAGGTTTTTATAAGGAATATATAGAGGGAAAAAATCGGGACTTTCATTTTACTTCGACACATCGAGAAAATCAACTAATCGAAGTTTGACTCATGGAAGTTCTACTGTACTTCAAAGTTAATTCCATTAGTCATAAACTTTGAAGCAGATTAACACAGAAATAACTTACCCATAATGTTTTCTGGTTTAATGAGTTCATAGCATTCTTTTTTGTTTGTTATTTGTTCGGGACACTCCAAATGGTTATCATTAAACATAATAGATGGTGTAAATCCCCAGGCATCTCTTGTAGAGATTTTTCTAGTAGCCCAGTACAACCCTCTCTCCTCCGGGTCAGGTTCATATGGGTGATCAAAATACAGATATGTTCCATATGCTAATATAACCTGAAAGCAACCAGAATTTAGAATTTTAATGATACAGTTGGGTATTAAGTCATAACAACACTGGGTAAGATCCAGGGTTTTCATTTTTATTGGCCCGTACGGCTAGCCACTTCCTTTATTCTACAAACTGAAAATACAACCGATTGTAACCACAATTCAACCAATGATAATGATTGCCAATCTGTAAATAATGAAAACCCTTAAGATCATATGGTCATTATCTAGCTTATATAGCTTTTGTAAGCTTGCTAAATATAGATATTCCTGAACTCAGCAAATGTGGGTTACTCCTATCTAAGGGTACAAAAATTATGAAATAACAACTTGATAAATATATCAATAATAAGACCAATGACTTACTAAATGTGTTGTGAATGATAGTGCATTATGAAGCAACAACAGTAAAATGTTTGTTTGTGCTTGGAATAAGATGGGGAAAGCCACATTTGCCGAGTTTCAGATGACATCCATACATTCAGACACATGTAATCATTTAAAATACCTAACATGACTTTTACCTATGGCAATGAGGGACAAATGCTTTGATCTAATCAACTATAGTGACAATACTTGTAAAATGTTGTAGCAATTAGTTCTACTAAATTGCATGTTTCTGTTTGCAAACAATCACTGTGGTGTAAGATTTAAGTAGAGTTATATGATAAAAAGGTGTATGAGGTTTATACATATCAATTGATCGGCTGGTATATTAAAAACCTAGACTGAAGTGAAAATATTGTAGATGAAAATTTTGGTAAATGTATTTACATTATACATATCTCTAATTTTCTGTAATCTTGATGAAATATTCTTATAACAAACATAATACTGAAGGAGATTAATCTTATTATCATATTGATCAAAATACCTTATAGCCTTTATTAGCAAACAGTTTAGCTCTGTGTGGGGTTCGTGACTCTGAAGGTCTCTTCCATACATACACATATATATCTCTGAAAGTATATATATCTGTTTAACAAGTATTACCCATCAAACAAACATTGAATATAACAAGTAAATTACTTGAATTGATATTTTTCCAGGTAATATGATACAAATCACTTTATTGAAGCTTTTTATTTTAAGTATGTCAGAACATGAGATTAGGAGATTAATTTGAATTTTTTCCTTATAATAACACAAGGCCCATTAACTGACCTGTGTCAAGTAAAATAGCCTTTATAGTAAAGGACATCCTAAATGATGATCATATATAATGCAATTATAGTTTTATTATGACATTATGTAATGTCATTTGTTTTTTTCTTTAAAGAATGTTACTAAAACATACAAATTATTTAATGATTCATGTAAAATAAAATATGGAAATTTACATTCATTCAATTATGAATCCAATTAGACAAACAATAAATAAAATTTTCAAAATTTACTCTGATTTATATGGTGATGCTAATTATAAGATACACATGATCTATTATTAAATTAAAGGACTAGCAAAACCATTCATCAAATAACTATATACAGATCCTAAATTCTAAAACATTACAATTCAACTATACTATATTATACATTTTATGTACATACATTTTGAAAGAGATTTTTTTATTTGTAAACTAGTAAAATGGTGGATCTTTAAGTTATACAAGAGGGCCATGATGGCCCTAAGGTCGCTCACCTGTATGTAGGCCCCCAGAGCGGGGCCAGTTTAAACCTTTTATTTGAACAAACTTGGAAGACACCTATAAGAAGATGTTTCATGATGTACACACTTATAATGAAAAACAATGATCTGCCCACCCCTACCCCCGGCAGGGCCAATTTTAACCCAAGGGCTTTTATTTGAACAAACTTGGTAGACACCCATAAGAAGATGTTTCATGCTAAACATCTAAGCTGTAGCTCATTGGGTTTTTTAAAAGATGTTTTTTAAGTTTTTCCTATACACATATAAGGAAAATCAATGACCCCCAGGGCAGGGCCAATTTTGACCCCAGGGCTTTTATTTGAACAAACTTTGTAGACACTCACTAGAAGATGTTTCATGCTTAATATCTTAACTCTAGCTATTTAGGTTTTTTCAAAGAATACTTTTTAAGTGTTTGCTATACACATATATAAGGAAAATCAATGACCCCCGGGCGGGGCCAATTTTGACCCCAGGGCTCTTATTTGAACAAACTTGGTAGACACCCATTAGAACATGTTTCATGCTAAATATCTTAGCTCTAGCGCTTTGAGTTCTTTAAAAGAAGATTTTTTAAGTTTTTACTATTATACATATAGGGAAAATCAATGACCCCCGGGGCGGGGCCAATTTTGACCCCAGGGCTCTTATTTGAACAAACTTGGTAGACACCCATTAGAACATGTTTCATGCTAAATATCTTAGCTCTAGCTCTTTGAATTCTTTAAAAGAAGATTTTTTCAGTTTTTACTATATACATATAGTGAAAATCAATGACCCCCTGGGGCGAGGCCAATTTTGAACCCAGGGCTTTTATTTGAACAAACTTGGTAGACACTCATTAGAAGATGTTTCATGCTAAATATCTTAGCTCTAGCTCTTTTGGTTCTTTAAAAGAAGATTTTTAAGTTTATACTATATGCATATAGGGAAAATCAATGACCCCCTGGGGCGGGGCCAATTTTGACCCCAGGGCTTTTATTTGAACAAACTTGATAGACACTCACTAGAAGATGTTTCATGCCAAATATCTAAGCTCTAGCTCTTTTGGTTTTTAAAAAAAAAAAATAATTAAAGTTTTTTCTTTCGGTTGCCATGGCAACCAGAGTTCTGCATGGAATTAAATTCTTTGAACAAATTTTAAAGGTGACCACCAAAGGAACATTCCTGTGAAGTTTGGATGAAATTGGCTTAGTGGTTTATGAGGAGATGTCATTTAAAGTAAAAGTTTACGGACGGACGGACGGACGACGGACGAAAAGCGATCACAAAAGCTCACCCTGTCACTTTGTGACAGGTGAGCTAAAAAGGGAAGTAATTTTGCTGTACTTCTTCTATACATCAATATGATTCTGAATAGAAATTTTACTTTAGAAAATGCTTGTTTTGAAATAACAAAGGGTCATGATAACAACACACATGTGGATTATGATTGAAATAAAGATTATCCTTGCCCTCGTCATTAAATAAGGGGGCAGATAACTCAAAAAGTAGGATTGTGACCCCAACATCTTTTCCTTCAATTTGTTTTTATCATGAAATAAAAATAATTATATTCAATAAATGGTGATTGGCCAACATTTGATAATCATAAATGTTTAGGACTGCCTTAATTATAAAAGACTGCCCAACTCTTTTTATCAACTGAGCTTTACTGAGGAATAGTGGTGTTGGTATTTTTCACTCCAGATCACGTCAATAAGTCACATTGAATTTTCTGCAGCACAGTTCAGCCAACAACTGGTTCCTGGGCAGGCTGTCAAGTAGTTTACCAGTACTAGTTGCCTTAACTTTTACAAGGAATAGATAACTTCTGTTCATGCCAGAGCAGAGGTACAGTGAGAATGACCATAGAAAGGATTTCATCATCAATCACAAAGAAAGTGACCAGCACCGTCTAGGAATTGAACCCGGATCACCCGATTCACAGTCTGACACTCTACCTTGTATTGAGCTAATCTGACTGTGCCTGAGCTTAACTAATACATTCTGAAGGATATTCGTAGAAATTTCTGTGTAAAATGTGGGTAACTGAATAATAATTAAGAGCAGAATATGACACTGGAAACAAACATCACAAAATATAAACTTATTTGGACTTTTCCCTTTAGTCCCCACATTTATACTTGGATAGGCATAATGTCACTTTACTCATGCAAAGTTTAAGTTAACGAATTCACAATTTGCATTGTAGATATTTGAAAGTTACTTTCCATTATACATAAGACTGTTTCTTTCAAAAACTATGCAACTTTGTTCCACATAATCAAAACTTACTTGTTTTTAAATGCATCACGTGGGAAAGGTAATCCTACGTTTTCAATGTCATGTGATATCATGCCATCTTCCCAAGCTCCTACAGACATAGATTCTTCCAAGGCAATACGTGTAAGATTGTTGATAAAATATTTCATCAAATCATACTGACCCATGTTTTCTGAAAATGATAAGATTCTATATAGATGTAGGGTTTTAAGGTTAACTATACATCAATAATTATGTTAATATGGTTACTTAATTTAAAACTACTAAACTTACAAAAGTGTGGAATATAAAAGACATTATATAAAACTGTATTTAAAATATGAATGGTAAATATTCGGCAATGAGTTACAGAATACAGTTATTTCCGTAATGATTTGAAATTCTATAATCTACCTTAACTAAAATGAGGAGTAGTAAAACACTTATAATTTAGTTAGTTCAACAGATAATCTAAGGGAAATTACTGAAAGAAATTATTTGCCCCATAAAACTTACAGTGGTTTCCCTTTAACAAAATGATAAAGCCATTCCTATATTGCAGATTGTATTTACATGATTCAGACAAATAAGAACTAGGAGTCTACACATATAATTTTATCAACATTATTTCCTTGCTCTAGTTACACAGTATCTAGAGATAACAAAACATGAAAACAATTTCAATAAACACTGATGACAATACTCCAAAATTGACTCATTTAGTAAAAGCTTTTGAGAATTTTCATCAGTAAAGATACTTTGTCATTTATACATTTGATCAATATCTTACCTCCTGTTGGCTTTTTGAGTTTCCTACATTCAGGGGAACCATCCCATGCTCCCTGAGCCACCTCATCACCACCAAAGTGGTAAAATTTTAGAGGCTGTATATCTTGATGCATCTTCTTTACTTCCATTATGATCTTCTTGACAAAATCATACGTGGAATCCATGCACGGGTTCATGACATCATCAGTGAAATGTTGACCTGATTTAAATTTAGGTACATCTTCACTGTCTATAATAGAGTATAGGTTTGCTTTCATGTCTTTACGTATCGAACGCTGTGATTTGGAATGAATAGACTTTATAGCTGCCCTACTGTGTCCAGGCATATCAAATTCTGGTATAACTTCTATATGACGTTCTTTTGCATTAAGGAGAATTTCTCTGTAGTCCCCGACACTAAAATATCCAGATCCTGATGTATTAGAGTAAGGCCCTGATCCAAGCATAGGTAAAATACACTGCTCTTCTTTGAGATCATGACAGCGTGAAGATCCCACCTTTAAAAATATGTGTTATATGATGTTCAATATATCATACAATTCAGGACAATTTTTAACAATATATATTATTCATTTGACTACATTGTGTAGAAATTTGAAAAAGAAAACAAAAAATTATCAGGCAGTTATCAAGATAAATCAGTTATATAATTTTGTAACAAATATACACAAAAGCTTTGTTTACCAAATATTATAAGTTATTGTAAATGGCCAAAGGCATTTTCTCATGCCGATTTAGCCAAAATAAACTGTATAAACTGTAAACTATTATTTGTTCACTTGACCACACCAGCCCTTTCAAAAAATGTAGCTATTACATGATTATCATTTTGACCAATATAAAATCAATTCTAGAATTATATAAAAAAACAAGAGCTGTCAGTAGGACAGCACGCTCGACTATTCCAAGTGCTTGATAGTAAAAGAGCCTTGATAATGTTAAATTTTTTTAATTTCACAAAAGGGCTAATTTTTTTTTATAAATTCATGTTATAGGCCTTAGAGAGAGTCTAATTATACAGTATTGGCTTGACTATTCGGAAAGTAATGTCACAAGGGTGTTTTATTGAGTATAATAATACTAATTACTTATGAATACATAAATTTGACAGAAAAGGTACAAAGGCTTGTTATTAAGATGTTTAATCAAGTAAATCACTGCTTTATTAATATGAATGCATAAAATTGTCCCAAAAAAGGCAGAAACCCTTCAGTAGTTATTGAGATAACAGCTTACAAGCAAAACTGTACCATGAATTTCTAAGTTGAAAAAGGGGAGAAAAATCAGCCTAAATGCAAGATAGAATTATGGATCTTTGTCAGACCTACAATTATGACCCTAAATATGTGAAGTTTTAAATAAATATCTTTAATAGTTATTGAGATATGTAAAACTTGCATGTAAACATTAACCAAGAGACTAAGTAGAAAAGGGGATTTGAATCAGCCTTAATGCAAGATAGAGTTATGGAACTTGGTCAGTGACATACAATTATGACCCTCCAATTATGACCCTAAGTGCATGTGTAAAGTTTCAAATAAATATCTTTGAAGACCTTTAACCTTTAACCAAAATTTCTAAGTTTCAAAAGGGCAAATAATTCTGCAAATATTGCAGGCAGAGTTATGCAATTTTGCAAACTGATGTACAATGTTACTATAGAAAAGTATTTTAAATTTCAATTGAATATCTCAAGCAATAATTGAGATATTTGACTTTACAAAAAAACTTTAACCAAAATTTCTAAGTTCCAAAGGGGCATAATTCTGTCAATATTGTAGGCAGAGTTATCCAACTTGTCAATATGATGTACCTTGTTACTATAAATAAGTATTGTAAGTTTCAATTGAATATCTCAAGCAATAATTAAGAAATTTGACTTTACAAAAAAACTTTAACCAAAATTTCTAAGTTAAAAAGGGGCATAATTCTGTCAATATTGTAGGCAGAGTTATCCAACTTGTCAATCTGATGTACCTTGTTACTATAAATAAGTATTGTAAGTTTCAATTGAATATCTCAAGTAATAATTGAGATATTTGACTTTTCAAAAAACTTTAACCAACGCAGACGCCGACGCGGACGCTGACGCCGACGCCGGGGCGACTACAATAGCTCTCATATTCTTCAAATAGTCAAGCTAAAAATGTGTATTTTTCAGGGTCATTTAATTTTTGTGAAAGTAAATGGCTGTTATTGGAGGACACTACATTCCTGTAAGCCAAGAAAAAAATTTGTAGGGAGCAGTTATTCAATTGTACATATGTATCAAGAGATTAGGAATGTGCATCATATCAATAATATTGCCTATATCCTCAAATCAAACAACTCCCTTAATTGATTCACACAGTTGTTAATAAGTATGTGTGATTGAGTGATAAAATTCTGCCACTAAAAGTCAGTTGGATTAGAAACAGAATGAATGACTACAGAGGGAGAGAAATATAATAGATATTAGCAGACCAAAAGTCTGGGATAAAACTATAAGTCTGACATCATGCTTACCATATGAAACTTTGACATAAACAGATTCTTCTGTATGTTACATTTCATTCTTTTTTTTACATTAAAAATATCAAAACCTTCAGTAAAAGTTTAATCAACAGTGGAAGGTGGTTATGTAATGATGATGTGCAGGATCATAACTAATTGGTTAAAGGAGACACATCATCTTATATGTGGACATTTATTATAAGATTACCTGTGTTAACTCTGGTATTCCAGGTATTTCAAGTCTCCAGCCTTCATCATCTGATAAATGTAGATGTAGTTTATTCATCTTGTACATTGACATTATATTAATGATCTTTAAAATTTCTTCAACTTTTATAAAATTACGGGATACATCTGAAAATAATGTCAAAAAAAATCCATGAAAAGCAATATTTTGCATACATGTTATTCATATGAATAACATAAAATGAGTTAAAATTTTCAAAAATAGCTATTACTCTTTAAGTAACAAGGCTCTTTGCTAGAAATATGACAAAATACTCAGACTACCGTAATCATGCATGAAACATGTTGTATTGTAAATATTTCTATACTTCTTATTCTTTTAAAGTACATTTTTCTGAAGTATTTTTAAAAACCTTTTTCTTTGTTTAGGGGCATGTAGCTTTAAATGTCTCACAATTTATTTTACATTTGAATATTTTCTTAAGGCACCATATCACATGTATAGGCCAAATCATGCATATTTTAATAGTTATAAAGATTTATTACAGCTAGGTTATGTATTTGACCCTATACATATAAATGGTTGTTTGCATATATATTCAGAGCTGCTAGACAATGGTTATATTGAAAAAAACAATAAATTCATGGTTATATAACCTTACCTAAACCTTTATAACAAACTTATAATACAGCAAATTTAACTTCCTTTATTTATTACTTCATAAATTGACAGCAGTGGTGTACATAGTTTATCTAATATCATTTCAATAATTCTCTTGTCTATACAGATATTTATATATCTAACCTACCTATATGTAGACCTCTATAAGAGAATCTTGGTGCATCTTTGATAGTAAACTCTGGTAACATTATTGGTATACCAACACTTGTACGGGCTTCCGGTGTAAAGAAAATACTACTCAAAGTTTGGAATGCATAAAATAAAGCTTCATTTGTTGCTGCGGTAACAATAATATATTCTCTAGATGAAAAAGCTTCAATACTGTAACCATCCTTGTTTTCTTTAGATACTTCATCCATGTCCACTATAACAGGACCTTCCCTTATCTCGATATACTTTCTCATTGGTTTAGACTTTACAATTTTCATTGACAGCTCATCTGTAATAAAGAACAAGATTGTTGGTAAATTATAAATATAAAAAATAATCCCAATCTTCAGTCAAGCATTATCACACCATAAATTGACTTTAGAATTACTTTTCTCAACTGAAACATTACCATATCTTAATTGATGCATTACAATATCTTAATTGAAGCATTATTTAACCATAATGATATCTTTATTAAAATATTACCATATCTTGACTGAAACATTATCATATCTTATTTGAACCATGACAATACATGTATTGTAATTGAAGCATTACTATATCTTAATTGAAACATTACTATATTTTAATTGAAGCATTACTATTTTTTAATTGAAGCATTACTATATCTTAAATGAACCATTACAGTATTTTAACTGAAACATCACCATATCTTAACTGAAGCATTATCATATCTTAATTGAACCATAAAGGTATCTTAATTGAAGCATTATCACATCTTAACTGAAGTATTATCATATTTTAACTGAAGCATTTCATATTTTACCTGAAACATTATTCTTTTTCTTAATTGAACATAACTATACCTCCTTGAAGGCAATTTTTACGCATTCCAAATTTATTTTAGAGTCCATTATTTCAATGAAAACAAATTTTTTTAATTGAAGCATACTTTTTTTTTACTAAAGCATACCAATTTAATTTAAACTTACCCCTGTCGTCCCTTGAGTAACAGTTATAATACCTTTACTGACGCATTACCATATCTAGAATTAATGATGGGCCTCATTTGTCCAGTTTAACATATAATAATCCATCTTGTGTTTGATAAAAATATTATGTCAATGAAATGTTTAAAATTAATTTTAAAATTTTCAAGTTTTCTTTATAAACTAATAATTATGTTCTTTACTTAGAATCAGACATGCTTACCTGAAAAATGTTTAATCTCCTGTAAAAATGGATCAGACTTAATAATAACCCATTGCTTTGTATTAAATTCCATTTCTACTTTCTCTTTCACTTGAACAGATAATGGTGTTGGAATGATTTTAAATCTTGTATTTGTTTCTTTTTTGTCCATTTTAAACATCTGGAATCTTTGTTGTGGAGTTAATGGATGTGACTTATCATCAATTCTACGCTGGTATTGTCTTTTGTCTGTAAAATCTTTTACATAATTCAGAGATTCATCGTCCGTGTTAGCAATAATTTTTGGCATAGACAAACTGCTGGTGACATACCACCTTGGCATAGAATCAGAACGAGTAATCTGGAATGCTTGCCCCTTAAATCTACATGTTACCATTTCGGACGGTTTGAGATCAACGAAAACGTTCCCTGTCAGGTTCAAATCGTGTACAAGCTGCCACCAACATGAAATAATTTCAAACCACATGACTTAATATGATATCCTAATTGATAAGGATAGTTATCTATCTCCATAAGTCTCATGAAATAACCGTAAAGATGCCAGCGTTTTGCCTTTACAGTTTGTACACCTGTGTTAGTCAATGTTACGCTACATAGGAAATATCCCCTTCCACCCATTAATTCCCCACTGATGAAATTATCCTCCACGGCAAAACTAACATTAACAAATCTTGAAAAATAGTCTATATCTTCTTGTGTTGGTTCTGGAAGTTGTTGTTCTGAAAAAAAACAAAACCACAAATAAATCTGATCTATATTTTGTTTGTTAATTTTTGTTCTGGTTTTTATGATGCTATAAAAAATATTTTTACACTCTTCACACTGAAACTGTACTAATAATCAGCAGCTGAGTGTGAGAAATCAGTCATTTTACCTTACAGCATGGCAAGTTCCCACAATCAAATATGGGTTTTTCTTGCTAAGTAATGAAAGTAGCTCATTTCAAATCACCTGACCTTCAATTTTCTGTAGGTTCAAATCCCACCTGGATATTAAATTCTTTTATGTGAGGCAGCAGTCAACCCAGCTAGTAGAAAGTTTGTTTGGTATAAAGTCATGCCAGCTTCACTGAGCAAGACCTTAGCTGTATTATTTTGGGCACAACTGAGCCTCTGAGTACTTCCAAGATGTCTGTATGAAATGATAACATAGGGGAGATAGGCTGTAGTGGTTAAGCTGTCTACCTTTCAACTCAAGGATAGTTGGTTGAGCCATGGAGCTGAGGTTGAGCCCTACAGGGGGTTCACAACCATGTTTCCTCTTATATCATCAGTATTTACATGAGTGGTTCAAATAAATTTTAAGATTGCTAACATGAATATTGATGTAAAATATGAAACATACAGACAGAAATTTGTGTATTACATCTATAAGAAAATCTGAAACTTTGATATATATGACCTTTACAGTGTTAGTGTTACTCTAAACAAGAAGTAAACAGACTTGTGCGATATAAGGTAGACATACTTTCATATATTTTTAAGGAACATTTAAACTAAAAATATAGATAAGTGACACTTACCTCTAAATAATGAGAAGCTGTATTTTGAACCAGTGTTTGTTGCATCAAATGAACTGAAAACAAGATAAAGTATATAAAGAATTTTGTATATATAATGTATAATCAGTGACAGAGTAAGCCTCATAGACTAATTGCTGTTTCAAGGGAGAAAATTTTTTCACTTCAATTTTAAATGCATACAATAACATATAAAACAGTATCAGACTTTATTTTGTCATTCAGAGACTTTAACACATTCATTAATGGAGATAAAAATATCATTACTGTACTAAGATTTATTTCAAAACCTAACATAACCTGCATAATTGCACAATTAACAATTGTACTCTACAGAGACTTAGGGCACACGCTTTTTATTACTTGGGGACCATACGCCGCTTTTCATGGAATGGCACTACTGTCTCACATTGAAGGTTCTATGATAACGGCCGTTTGAACACATCTGCGGATATTTCTAAATTCAAAATTGTACCATTTCATGTTTAAATGTTGAATTCTGCTTAAGCTGGTGCTAGGGGGCATGGACGGTAGTTTGCACTTATCAGTACCGTCCATGAACAGGCTCAATCAAACAGAGCCTGCAAGATTTTCAATTTTGACGTGTTGGGCTTTCTTTACGGATTCTTGTTTTCTCTATTTAATTATACAAATGAGGGAACTGCTGAATAGTGATGAATAATATACATTGAAAACAAAAGCTGTTGGTAGGACAGCATGCTCAACTATTCTCAGTGCTTGATAGTAAAACAAGAGCCTGTATAATGTAACTATTTCAGCCTTGAGCAACTTGACTGTATTTCACTGAAAAATTTTATAGTGATTAATAACACGGGGGAGGAACTGTTACATGGAGGATGAAGTTCTTATGATAACTGTCACTGAATTCCTGGAAAATGTTACAGATTTCGTCAGAAATTTTTTGTATATACTGAAGAGCCACTGGTCAAGAATTGTAATTTTTAGGTTCACAAAGAGAAACAACTCTGTAAAGACTAATGCTTGAGTTATGAGTCTTTAAATCTGTGACCTACCATTATGATTGTAAAGACAAAGTTTTAAGTGACGACCTTGAATAGTTTTATAATAAATGAAATTACCAGCACAACTTTAACCAAAAGCTACACAACAGCAAATCATATAACTATAATGTAGAATAATATAGCTCCCCTTTTTCTAAACACTTACCATGCTGTTTTATTATAAACATCTTAACTTGTCAATCTTTCAATCCAGATAAAACCATTCATCATTTTTAGAAAAAATATGTACTGAATGAAAAGCTTACACTGCAGATTTATGCTTATTTTCATGAACATTTTTAAAATGTACTAAAAGTAAATATTGCCAAGTGAACAAAGAAGTAATTTACACTTTGCACACAGCATTTAAATCTATGAAAATTACCTGAAATAGGTTAGAATATGCAGAAATATCCATAACTGCATTAGTCAGGCAGTAGAAATATCCTTATAAATACTTCAAAATCATGCATTACTGTGAAAATGTTACTTTTCTTAAAATCTTGGTACATTTTTCTCAAGGTTGATTTTTTAAAATATTTAGGCATGGAACTTTAAAATCCTTGTACAAAACAAGGGAATATATAAGTATGGCAAAGATTAATTTAGAGTATAAATACCTTTTATACAGGAGTAGAAGACATGCAGATGTAAGCAATAACAATATGTGAACCTTGCTTCTTGATACACGGTAACACAACTGGTTCATGATACATCTTCTACTGACTACCATCTTTATCTTGTATCAGACTGTATAACATGACAAAGAGAGCAGTAACACTGCGTTTGATCATCAATATTAACATAAAGTATAAACAACAATATAAAACAAAATTGATTATCAGAAAAAAACACAATTCTACATTATTTTTCATTCATTTATAAATTTTAGAAAAGTAATGTAGATTATAATTATAGCCACATACAAATATAGCATCATATAAACTTCTAATTCAGAATAGGTGTGAAGCTATAAAATTAATTATCCCAGTAATTGAAGTTTAATTGAAATATTTAAGTCCACACACAGTTGCCATTTTAATTGTTCAAATTATGATCACTACAATATATTTAGAATTTGAATTTTTCATGAAGTCCCCTTGCCAACCCCTCATCACCGCTAACAAATCTAAAATACAAACACAATATTAGTAACATACATGGTCTATATATATTTAAAGAATTAAAGTGTGACATTGTTTACACAACCATTAATATAAGAAAATGAAGGGTAACAGTATTATTATTAATGGAAGAAAAAATAGCAAGTTCACATTTGAAATGTGATATCAAGCAATGTCCATTAATCACAAAAGGAAGATAAAATTGTATAAGAGTACCTTGTATAAGGCTAAAGTTTAGTCTTTTAATGCATTATATCATTGCTTGTGTATCCAGTGACCATAAATAACATTATTTTTTATCTCTATAGTGTTAAACTTATCTTTAAATAAATTTGGTCTATAATGAAAAAGGTGAGGTCATTCTTCAGCAAAGGGCTTTATTTTGTGCAACCTTCATAGACTGAAAATAATTAATGCATTATATAAATTGCATTATATAAATCAAATGTTTTCATGTTTGTACCCAAACAGTACACATTTAAATCACTCTAAACAACTTACACTTAAGACTTATTTCAGACATGTATTTCATTGATGTGACCTTCTATAGACATAACTTTCTATGTTATCAGCAATAAAAAAGAAAATTTACCCGATACAAGTGCAAAATAATCCTGTCAAAATATGTCCATTTCTTTTAACCCACAACAAGTTTTTCTACTCACATCCAGATTTCCTACTCACAACCAGCTGTTCTACTTACAACAGGTGTGGTCACAGTAAAAGCTTCTTACTATATCTGAGAAGACAAAGGCGACCAACTCCTGTATTGTTGCCCTCAAAAGGCATAATTCATATACTGTAACTTTTATGTATACCACACTATACCACAATATCACAGCAATTTAAGATTTTATTTTTTTATCTTTTGGCTTCCTTAATGCTAATGCATCAGACAGAATCAATCTATAAGGACTACCTAAACATTCCTGTGAAGTTACGTCAAAGTTTACGTAGTAATTTTTGAGATTCTGTTTTAAAGAAGTTAATGATAATGAAAAGAGCTGCAAGAAAAAGCTTGACAGATAACAGGCCATTCTGTTTTTGCTAAAATATTATCTCATTGCCCAAAGTCTCATGAATGAGTTAGAGAACACTTCATAAAAAAGAATAACTTGTGCAGAGTTCATAAGGGTAGAGGAAGGTGGAGAAAAACGAATTATTCACAGACATGGCATTATGTTATTTTTATAAAATGTCATGAATTGTTTAGTATTTCTGTAACTACAACTTTAATCAGTAAAACTTTAATATATGACATGAGGGTACCATCCCAGGTGTATGCTAGCATAACACATCTGTATATAAATCCCACAAAATGTAATGAAAGTTCTATATGGCATCATAACTGACTAACAGCATAAAACTGACAAAATAATACACATCATGGAATCCAGAAAGAGCTCTTTCAACAAGCAGTCTTCTTCATTATGACACAAGAGTATATAATTCAGGAATAACAATCTTTATAATACAAAATTTGATAATTTATATAAATAACTGTTCTGTTATGATGTCTGGATAAACTTTTTCAAAGCAAAAGATAATGAAGTTTTTTTGTTATTTTTTTTTTTAATTTCATCATCTTATATCATTTCAAGAAACACTTGTAGTTCAGACATTAAACGTTTAAAATGTGCAGAAATTTTAGCTGCTCACCCCTAATTCTAACCTTTAATCCTATGCACTTATTTTGTTGAAGAAAATTATTGGTGAAGGGAAATTACTGATTAAGGAAAATACTGATGAAAGATGAAGGAAAATACTGATGAAGGAATTTACAGGTAAAGGAAATAGCTGGTGAAGAAAAATACTGATGAAGGATGAAGGAAAATACTGATGAAGGATGAAGGAAAATACTGATGAAGGAATTTACTGGTGAAGGAAATAACTGGTGAAGAAAATTGCTGGTGAAGGAAGACCTTTATGTTCAACTTGTTATCACCTACCAAGCTTGATCCTAACATGTCCCTGTCAAAATAAGATCCAAAGTCAGCTATGGGCAAGTATTCATTGAATCAGTGACCTGAACGACTTGGCAACAGACACCCACTCTTGCTGAATGGGTACAACATGTATTTCATTATCCCACAACACAGCCTTGACTTATTTCCATGACAAGATAGACATACCGGTAGCAAGATAAACAATTCAGCTCATTTTACAAATTGAAACTTTTTGAACAACCCTCCAAAGTTGTTGTTATTGTTGAAATGCTTCAGTGAACACAATTGTTTTACCAAGGCCAATATTGTACACCAAGACAAATATATTATAACATGAAGTGTGTAAAGACAGTGCTTAAACCAACTCATAAACTATACATCAAAGGTAATAAAATAACTATAAGAGAGTACAATGTGTACACTGAAAGGTTAACAATACTTAATGAGATATCATATTACAGGTGACAAACATGTTAATATTGACAGTATTTTAAACCTTTGATAAGGCAATATTAATTACAGTATGTCAGCTGTCTGTTATACACTGTTACAACAATTAAACAAGACATATGTTCATATAGATCTATATACAAGTACTTGACAAGACCTGGATTCATATGAAAATATACACTACCAGGTAAAAGACTAGAAGAACTACAATATAGCCCAGTATTGTAAAACTTCAATAAACCTAGCTAAACTGTTAAAAAGAAATAAAACCTTCAATTACCTGTCATAAACACACATGTATATAAAAATAAATTCAAAAAGTGAATGCTTCCACAATTACATTAAGTAAGATATACTTTCACTTCTATAACAGCAGACTAAATCTATGAACAGGAAGCCTAATAAACATGCACTTATGAATCTTTAATTTCCAGTATCATAAATCCAGAGACATAGATCTATGTCTCTGATAAATCTAACACAATTTTAATGTACGCGACACACATACAGATGAACTTCACATGAGGTTATGTTATATGCTAACATATAGATGACAAGATTATCATAATAAACATGCCCTTCACATATACATGCAATATAACAAAGATTACATTTGTTGTAGTTAAACAATCTTAAATTCACACTTAATTCAATATATCCCTCATTTATGCTGTCAATTACTGTCCGATCTTACATTACCTGACTACTGATTATTCTATTTCATATTACAGCAAGTTACAATGAAAATATGTCGTAAAGAATTACCTATAACCAGTATTTAACTATATAAAATAATATCCATTCAAGGTTGTTCATTATGAAAGGTGGATACATCTCTACATACACTCAACCTTTAAAATGACAATATTGTGCTTGAGGGTCGTTCCAACAATAGTAAATTACTGTTTTTACAATGGATCAAATGTAAAACAGGAATTTATAGTGGCCAGGTTAAAAATGATTCATGCCTAAAGGAAGTTTTTTATATGAAGCACACAATAATATTATTTCAAATGTTTTAGGTATGGATGTGGACTTTCAGTGCAAAAGCTTGATAAACATGCAACAATAAATTCATTATAAAAATGAATATATCAATAGAAATATATCTGAGCATTTTTCATTACTAAAAAAGTACATAAAGGGAGATAATTGTCTTATTATGGTGAATATTTGTGCAAACTCATTTCAGAATCATTTCATGAATAAAAAGTTGTGGACCAGGCACAAAACAGGTCCTATAATTATAAGACCATATTAACAAGAGGGCCATGATGGCCCTGAGGTCGCTCACCTGTATATAGCCCACCCCCAACCCCCAACGTTGCAGGGCTTTTATTTGCACAATCTTGGTAGACACCTATAAGAAGATGTTTCATGCTAAACATCTAAGCTCTAGCTAAAAGAAGATTTTTTTTTAAGTTTTTACTATACACATATAGTTAAAAACAATGACACCCCTGGGGCCCGGCCAGTTTTGACCCCAGGGCTTTTATTTGAACAAACTTTGTTGACACTTACTAGAAGATGTTTCATGCTTAATATCTAAACTCTAGCTATTTGGGTTTTTTCAAAGAAGATTTTAAGTTTTTGCTATACACATGTAATAGTGGTCAGGTTCTAATGAGAATCAATGCTTTACACGGAGACCAAACGATCACAAATTATAACTGGAGTAAATTCTCAGGGCTCAGTAGATTTATATACAAGTGTCACTATATAAAGATGATGGACTAAACAACAACAACTAGTAAATTCAATTTCAATCAATGCTTTTTAATATATGAAAAGCCCTAACAAATTGAAAGAGAATACTAATCAAATTATATTTAGTTTTTATATTAAGAATAACTATATTTATTTTAATTAAGATTATGTTTATGATATTTTTATATATGGTCGTTTATAATAAACATAAACGTTTGTTAAGGACTAAGTCCAGTTTAATGTTTCAAGGCTAAGCCTTGTTGTACTGACCAGAGTAGGTACAGTACCTAACCTAGCTAACATTACCAAAGTCAGCTTATTTATACAATTCAGTATTCAAAACAACAATTTGATTGGTTGAGAATAACATTGTATATACCATGCAATAAGTATGAAAGATAGTAACTCATAACTACTAGATTAACTGTTAACTTAGATTACCGTAAATACCCATCCTATTACATTCCTCCCTCCTTAAAAACAAAGAAACCCCATGTAATTAGAGATTTAAATTTAATAAATATAATGTCAAAAACAAAGGAAGTTAAGAATTACAATAAGAATGAAACATCACTCAAGCAACACACCACTTTCAATGTTCTCGATGAAACTGTAAAGTCCTGATGTTAGAATACACTCTGAATTGAGCACATGCAGTAGTGGAATATAAACAATGTGGAGTCCATGGTGTTTCACCATTACAAGCGGTGTTTTGTGTGTTACAACTGGCTTGAGTATGTACATGTATATGAAGTCTGAAAAATTAAACAAGAATTAATATTCATATAAACATAATAAATGACAAGTCTAAACTCTTTATCTTTCAGACATACAATGTGGACATATATTCAATTCCATATGTCAACATGAATACTGCTATTTTAAATCAAACTATGTATTATCATCACAATATTTAATTAATGTATACTTTGTATTACATTTACATTTTTAGGATAAATGATTCATATCAATTTATCTTCCTCTAAAGTCGTGTTGATTTAAACTTGGTATTTTTCTGTACATTCCATTTCATACATAAGTCTAAGTCTTGGTTAGACATGGTCATTTTTAAGTAGCATTTCACTCTTTTAATCCATGACATCAGTTCTAGCATAATTATTTTGCTTTGAATAAGTAACTGCTTGCTTCTCTCAAAGTATAAATATGTTTGAAATATTGACACAGAGTTTGTGTCTAATGTTTCAAAAGATTTACTTTGATTATTGTCCAATGCATATTGAAGTATCATTTTACCATTATCTATTTTATCTATAAACCAGTACTTGCGTGTTGCACTGAACTTATTCAAATTGTCATGATCGTAGTTGTGTAATAATGGTTTGTTTTTATGAGGAATATCTGTTATTTGTACCTTTGCACACATTCTTGAGTTAAAGTTATACAATCTCACTTTTCCCACACTAGTTTTTAGCATGCGTTTGTGTACTTTCAGACTGACATTATAATTTTCGAAGAAATCAATGCCTAAAATGCCTATTGTTTCCTCAATATCAGCAACTATAAAACTCAAAATAAAATGCAAGATGTTCAATTTCAAAATTAAGTGTACATTTTCCAGCAATTTTTAGCCTGACCCCATTTGCAGTAGATAGAGGCACTTTAACAAGTTCTAACTTAGGCTTATTTTCTAGTCTATCATAAACACTTGGTGGAAATAATTGAAACTGGACTTCCAGAATCTATGAGCATTCCTCCCTTAACCTGCCCTATAGCAGTTTTTACATAATAACATGATGTTTTATTTTTTTCACCTATATCAGAAACAATGTTTTCCTTTTCTTGGCCTAAATTTTGTGGTGTTTTTATATCAACATTATTCTGTTGCAAAACCTTACTCTCAATATGATTTGAATCAGTGACTTTAAATTTCAAACTAAACGGTGTATATGTATTCGTACATGTACTTTGTTCATCTATATTTGCACGATATACATTTTGACCTTCGTTTGCGGAACACTCTTGTCCTAGTTTTTGACCTAAGTCACGTTGAGCATTCGTCTCAGTTATAGTAGGAGTAGGACTTAATTCGGGTGGAGTAATTGTTATTTCCGGGATTTTCCTATACATTGTGTTTTGTTCATTTGTATTTGAATGTTCAGACGTTAAAGTACTTTTAACGGAACAATGTTTATGTTTGTCAATTTCTGGTAAACTAACATTTTTCAAGTTCGTGTTTTCAGTGTTTTCACTAATTTGTGAACACTGCGTGTCACATTTTGTCATAGTAATGTCACATATTGGCCTAGTATTTTTACAAATGACTGAAGTTTTGGCCACAACCTCAGTCCGTTCTAGTTTTCCTGTAAGGGAGCATTTTGTTTTAGAAAGCAACGGCTCTCAATATGGCCTTTCTTTTTACAAAAAGTACAGAAAATATCTCTACGCTCTTTTGAAAAAACATTGACTTTCTGTATGTCCCAGTTTATTACAATATGAACAGGAAATATTCCTAGAATTATTCCTTAAATTCCTATTTGGGGAATGATTTGGGGATCTATTCTGAATTCCCACTCGTCTGTTATTGTGTGGAGATGAATCTGCACGTAAATTACGTGAAGGGCTATTTTGTCTTGATATGTTTTGTTTCTTAATAACATTATCAGAGTATTTGTTTTCAAGCATAGACATTTTTTCATTAAACTTTTGTTCAAGTTTTTGATCTAACAAAGAAGATAACATTTGCTGTAAATCTTCAAGATTACAATCAGTTTTCATATTTGATGGCCTAAGGGAAGAAACTATATTTTCTTTCAATGGAAGAGTAGTCCCCTTGTAATTTCGTCATCTACGGGTTTTGATCTTTTATCAAGTGACCCTTGTAAAGCAGCATATTCTACCGCGGCACTAATAGCTTGATCTAAAGTAGTTGGATGTAAAAATTGTACATGTTTTTGTAACTCAAAATTACCCAGACCATGAATGTACTGATCAATGATACAAGATTCGAGTGCCGTATGGGGCATTAAAGGAAATGCTTTCTGTCCTATACGTCTTAATGCATATCCATAATCTGATACAGACTCCCCAGAATTCCTTTTCCTGTTTCGGAATTCACACCTATATGCCAGTTCCCGCTCTTGTGGACTGAACCTTTGAGTCAGGGCTCGTTTTATTTCATTATAATCTGTTAACTGAGAGGAACTTAATGTTGAAAGTAAACGCTGGGCTTCCCCCCTTAAATTGATGGATAACATGCACGCCTTTTGTTGCTCATTCCATTCATTCCAGGAGGCAACACGTTCAAAATGAATTATATAATCTGTCCACTCAGTGGTAGAACCATCAAATTTGTCTGGTTTTATGTTTCTATTTGAGTTTGAATGAGGACTAGTATGATTTTCATGTGTATTATAATTAAATACTGGCATGTTACTAGGCATAGGCATATAGCTTGACTGCGTATGAGGTGTCATGTATGCAGCATTTGTTTGTATACACTTTTGAGATGTCTGTCCCATATTATTATTATACATATGAGGTAATGTATGCGTTAATGGTGTTTGGTAAGTGTTGATGGTGATTGGTGTAGTATATCTCTTTAAACCTGGTGCTGTAGTCAAAGGAAGTGAATGCTTAACATCACTATATTCTCTTATAGTAACCATTGGTACTGTGTAAGATTTATTTTGAGAAATTGTTTCTTTCTCTCTATCATAATTTACTGAACGCATTTGTGGGGTAAACGTTCCTAGGCGCTGATGTTGTTGTCCATTGTTTGTATTAGACAAAACAAAGCCATCACTGGTTCGTAACAACCCCTCTTCACTACCCTTAAAAACTAACGGTGTCTGTACATGTGTACGCGTAGGCATATCTGAACTATACCTGTTATAAATAATTTGTTCAGGTGTATTCAAATGTCCCTCAATTTCAGTTTTATGAATAGGGGAAAACACAAAATTTTCTTCCAAATATGGAGACCTTAATTTATCATCAAAAGTTTCACTATACCTTTGTGAATGTGCTGTGTCCCTTTGCCTTGTATTAGAAGGAAATGAATCTACATAAAGTGGTGAATGAGTGTTTGAAATTCTCGTGCTAGGTGTAGTAGCATGTATATTATGTTCATTATATCCTAACTGTTCAGTTACATAATATTGACCGATACCGTCGGTAGAAAAACTTGTTTGACCACCTTGTGCCATGGTATACCTTTACCTGCACTTTATATACATATACATGTATTATATTATATACACTCAAGATAATATTTTACCCACTATTTATAAACCTTACACTTTTAAACAAGTATATAGTCAATATATCATGTTTTAAACTTTTTATTTTTTTTTTACTTTATCATTTTATGACATGAATGTATGTTTATTTTATAGTTTATTTTCAAATAGTTTACTTATTTTATGTTACTAAATTACAAATATATCCTATGTATTTTTTTTAAACTCCTAAACTTTTTAATTTTAATTTACCCTATTTTATTCCTTATTTAAACTTTCTTAGATTTTTATTATTATTGTATTGAAAAGTCCAACATCTATATAATAATACACATCCACTGAATAATGCCCAATATAATTTTTACATTTATACATGT